GCGTTTTCTTTCACTTAACGAAATAACATCTAGACTTGACCTCGATAATTCACGTAAATGTGAACCCAATACAATGGGACTACAAAACGTACTTGTATTAGTTAATTAAACATACTTTCTTGAGAAATTTTTAGTGCATTGTTGGTGTTGCAGGCTCCGTGGATGCAGATGTCATCAGGTATTGAAAACTGACACCGTCATCATGGAGAGCGGTGCGTCTGAAGGCCGCGGTTTTTGGAAGACAATAAAACATCGAAAGCCCATCATTGTCGCTGTAACAGGTTAAGTGTTTTACATATCAATGCATACTTTCTACATCAAATGACATAATCATCGCTTAGGCTATAAATAGAAAGTACCCCGCAAAAGCGGCATTCACTTTGCATCAGTCTGTGACTTTAATACAGGGGTGTCCGATTTCTAAGGGCCACAACTAATATGTTTAATATGGTTGCGGGGCATATTTTCATTACTCGCGTGATCCAAACTTGACCCCATTTTGTTGATAACAACCCGGATGCTCTGAAACGAGTGGGGTGGAAGGAATTGAACTACGCGTGATACAGACTCTATATTGCATAATACACATTGGGATGATATTGAATTTCTGAATTGTCAAGACAAAAATCCCTTAAATCTTAAGTTAACCAATTTTTCTATCAAAGGGAGTGTTGATCCCGACAGAGCGGTGACGCTAGGCGCGCAATGTGGACGAAAGGGGCTTAAACATTTGTACATAATATTTCGCGGACCCCAATAAATGGCACCGCGGGCCGCCAGTTGGACAGGCCTGGTTTAATATAAAGCCGGTGGTTACCGCTGACATATTGTGGAAATCCATATGGATATGTAAAGGGAAGTAATATCCACAAGCAGAATGTATTCACACTATATACAGATCACGCATACGTATGTGGAGGCGTTTTCCTTATCACCAGTGCTCCGCAAGTAATGTGGTGCAAACCATGTCTTTTAAATTTGCGCGCTAACCGGCTCTATATTGCGGTGAGCACAATTATGTGTATCAACTGAAGTACTTCACAATGTCTTTAAGAACTCACATTTCAATCATGTGAACATGCCAAAATTTAATCCCGTGAAGGCAACTTTGCATCGACGTCGTATAGAGGAATTGCTATTGAGTCGTGATAGTGAACCGTATCCTCCTTGAAACTGTAAGAATTCTTGTACAGCAAAACTTGCTACATGAGGAACGTTTATATTGAGTAAATCTGTGCAATATGAACAGAAACTGCGTTCCTGGCAAATGTTTTCCTTTATTTGTACAACGCGGAATTTTATCCAAGGCGGAAAAAATGTTGGGCTCTGGTGAGCTTGCTCACAGAGCATATTTTACTGTATAATTCCACCTATTCCTGAATCTAGTATTCCTGATGTTTAAACCAATTATTGTAATTTTGTTCCCAAAAATTATAGTTTTAAATATGTTTTCAGTTAATAATTTTCCATTTGGATATGTTTTCAGTTAATTAATTTTCAGTTAATTTAAGATTATTAAGATTATTCTGTTAAGTTCTGTAATGCACGTTTATAAAAACCTCATTGCTTGTCTCGCTTTCAAGGCGAAGAGGCTTCATTTCCCGCCTATTATTCTGAAGGCCTTAGTTTGATTCCTGAAATTCCACAGGGGAATGTTTTTCTTATTTTTCCCTCGAGATGAGAAAATTGCGCGTATAAATATTGTTTAAATCCGGTTTTCAATGCGACCTGTGAACGCTGGAAAATCGGAAACTTCAATATGGTGCACTTTTCCTAAAATGTTCTCATAACATTGCTGGAGAATGGTAAAATGCAATTTTTCAAAGACAAGGCAGGTGCAACCGGTACACCGCACCGCAAGTTCTAAATCCAGGGGCTACTATTACAAATATTTCATAATAAATATGCAACAAATTACAGATTATGCGAATATTTCAGTCAGGTTATAACTTGTTTTGTTTGTTTTTCACATGATACAGTTTACGGTATACGGGTGAAAGTTTACCCGAAATCATTTTCAGAATAGAATGCCTAAGTCGAGAGTCTTGATGCCTGAATCTTGATGACCCAAATTGAGAATAACGTATTCGATGGTTAAATCTAATTGATAATAATGTGTATCTATATAAATTAAATTCAAAAATCTAGATTTCATGTATTATACAGGATGAGGTGGCTCAGGGCATCATCTGATGCCACTGGAGTGCCTCTGACCAGGATGTCCTAGGTTCGAGTCCCGACGGTAGCAGGATTTCTGACACTACCTTGCAGCTAGACAGAATTCTGTCGCTGGCTGGTCTAGTGGTCAGCTGCTCTGATCCGTAGATTTCTGTCGTTTCTCCGTTCAACACCAGGAGAATGCCAGAGCAGTACCTTAAAAAACTGTTCACGGACCACGCGCTTTCTTTCTCTTTCTTCCCCTATCGTCACCCCCTTGCTTACATACACGCTTACAGCACTTCACTACCACACATGCCGGAAGACCGGTCGGGAACTTACAGCTTGTCCCGGCTAGGGCGGTGCTCTGCTGGACATACATGCCACTCCTCCTAATTCGCAATCCACCTTCCGTCCCAGGAATTAACTCGATCTTTAATATCTATATTTGTATATTAAGGACGGAGACACAATCTAAATTTGATTTTGTTCGCAGAAAGCGATTCCAAATAATATGTATTCATTTTATGTATCACTTAATACTTTTCGAAAAAAGTTAATGTTTTGACTTAATTACATACATTACGACTCAGTAGTAAAAGGTAAGCCATAAAAAAACACTAGAATATTAAATTTACTATTTTTATGCAAAAAATCACAAGAATCACAAGAATGGTCTTAACTTAAAAATTAATACCTAGAGCTAAATTTTCGTCGTAATATTAATTAAGAAAAAATACGAATAATCGTAATGTGTACACACTTACGGTATATAAATATTTTTTTCTCTCCTTGGCAAAGAAAGCAAAACTCTAATTCATTGTATTAAAATAGAATTATATACAATGCAATTAATGTGGTTTATTTATTTCTACGTTTCTTTGGAAAAAAATGCGGAAATCACGCTATAGAAGGTCTCGTTTTAATCAAAATATTTGTGCCGTTTTTAGAACAATTGGTTTAAAAGAAATAAAAAAAAGTTTTGACACAAAATTTCGCAAAAAATTCTGAAATTTTTGAAAAATGAACATGACGCTTTTAAGTCTGTTTTCATGAACATAATTCATTAAGAAATAAAATTATCTTCTTAGATGTAGTTGTAGGAAGACGCCGAATAATGTTGATTTTTTTAAAAAATCAGGGTTTTCAACGATCATCCGCTACCATAATTTTCTACATGCGCGAGAAAAAAGAAAGAAAAATGTGAAGCCGTTTCTGAGAAAATAATTTGTTAGTCGCAAAATTAAAAAAAAATACTCAGTTTACGAAAAATTGCCTTATTTCAAGATCTGTCCCTAATTAACACCTTTCATTCATTCAAAAATTCTTCTTTTAGAAAAATCTTCATAATTGTAGTTAAAACGCCGAAAAAATGTTGAATTTTTGAAATTTTCAAAAAGTTATGCAACGAATATAAGATCTGCACTATTGTATTAAGCGTTCTTTTCGCTATCTGAGATCCAAATTTAATCAAAAAATGTTATATTGTTTTGAAAATATCCCGAAGGTTTCATGAAATGTGCTTATAAAAATTAAAGTAGCTGTTTCAAATTCAAGAAGCCGAGTCATCAGCGAAATTGGTTGGGAAATATCCATTTTGGAGAAACTGCTTACGATTTAGCCTTTAGTGTTGTTTTAAGACGGTTAGATAGAAAGACAGTCTGAGAGAGAATTTGTGCCGATTTTTCGGTATCAAGGGCACCAGAAATATGGATTCTGAGTTCACAATGTGCTATAGGAAGTAATACAAGTACATGTAGACAAGGTTTATCCACGTTTTGGTAAATAGGGTCCGTTAATAAGAGGTATTCTGCGAAAATTCACAGTTCTTTCCTGCAGCATTACAATACTTCCTCTATATTACGCAAGCAGTAGCGGATAAGTAAAACGAAGCGGTATGACATAACTTGTAAACTAATTTTATCACAGTAAGTAGTGTTTAACAATTCAAGAGAATTGTAAAAGCTCGAGAAGAATTGTATAAAACGGGAGGGAAAATAAAGTTGGAACTTACATGATGAACGAATCTACAAGGCTGTCTACTTTCTTGGTTGAGAGATTGACAGTACCCTTCAGAACATCTGTAGAAACATTTGACTCTGATTTGGAGTATGAGAATGCAGTAAACATGACCATCCAAGAGCAGTTGATATTTTGTTCTGTTTGCATTCAGATCTATTTCCACCCCAAAATAATTTTCAAAACAACAAAAGTATTGGCTTTCCCTCGATACAATTTTACGAATATATTCGATAACTTATTTTCATATTCTGATGTCCCCAAACATTGTTTTACTGTAATTAGTAAAATAAGTAATAAATCAATAGCGAATTAATAAAATAATTGCACTCCAATGGGTGCCACGACCCATTTTCAAATGCACATCAAGTGAGTTATTATGTTGTTACCAGATATCAACTTTTATTTATCATACTTAAATATTAGAAGTATCTACCTCACCAGCGATCTAATTAATAATAGTTATTGGGTAAATAGGAAGTTTATGGTGGCCATATTTTCTTTCATTCAGAGATTCAAACGCACTCATTTTGTTCGAAAATTGCAAAAGTTCAATATTTTTAGGAGTCTTTCTACAACTACAATATTAAAGTTAAGGATTCTTTCTTCATGAAATCTGTTTTTAAAGATATATTTTGAAATAAAGTCATATACAGTTTTTCGAAAATTTGAATACTTTGTGCGTGAAAACACGGCTGAGAAAGTGTTTTAGCACCTAAGTAGTTAAGATCAGTGATGTACGGCAATAGACGAAATGAAAATTAGCGCATGTTTCTTTAGTGAAAAATATTCTTGTTTAACTTGATTTTTCTATTTTGTTTCAGTGAGTTTTCTCAACATCCCACACTTCCTAAACGGGATTTCGTTCAGTGCAGTAGCGTACGACATCACTGGCGACTTATGGAAGTGGGATGAGCAACGAAGAATGACGCAGATATCGTATATCGTTGGGGGCATACTCGCGTACACTCTCTTCGCCTTCCTCTTCCAGAGATGCCGTCGCAAGACGTGCTTGTACTTGGTGTGCGTATGTCACTTGACTACGTCGACACTACTGCTCTGCACCAACTCATATTGGCTGCTTCATGTGTCACGAGTTTCCTCTGCCATCGGTGACATTGGAGCAGGAATGTTTTGTGTTATTTATGTTAGCGAAATCGCTCCTGATGAGATTAGAGGGTCCTTGGTGGGAATTCACAAGATGTTATTGAATTTGACAGAATTGATTCCTACTGTTATGTACTTATTACACGTTCCATTAAAATCTCTTCCTTTTTCTTGCATCTCAATAGTTATAAGTGTGTTTGTTGTAATTTGTACTTACGTCGGTGTACCTGAAAGTCCCATCTATTTTCTTCGCAGGGAAGATAATGCGGGGGCAAAAGAATCTTTGGAGTTTTTGTATGGAAATGAGGCAAATGTTTCTCAATTGATCGCGAACAGAAAGAAGATCCTCAAAGCTACACGTTCTGACTTACAAACCACCACCAGTATTTTTGACGAGTGCCTTAATCGGCGCACTTTGACATTTACTTGCATAGCAATTGCGTTGTATTTCTTGCGCATTATTGTCGGGTTTTGGTCTGCACGATTTCACGTTGAAGGTATTCTCTGGAAATTGCCCAAAGCGTCTTATAACAATGAATCGCATTTCCTTATTATTCATGTTTGTCTAATACTTCTTTCCAATCTACTTGTACTTGTATTGTGTGACCGTGTAGGTCGTAAGATATTAATAATGGTCTCTTTATTTACTTCCTCGATTACCTTAATTGGAGAAGGAATTATTTTCTATGTGCATTTACTGGATTATAATTATTGGGAAACAATTCGTATACTTTTTATAGTGTCCTCTTTGATATATTTGATCAGTTTGAACTTGGGTATTAGCATCCTTCCGGAAGTGTTAATAACCGACATCTTTGCTCCCAAAGTCCTCAATACTCAGATAGCTATTTTAGGCTCCTTCCACCTGTGTGTTGATTATGTTATTCACTACGAATTTTACAGCCCTATGGAACCTCCTCTGAGTGGATACGGTATTTTCTTGTTATTTGGAGGACTATCATGCATCGGAACTCTTTTGTTTTTCAAGTTTCTTTTGGAAACAAAAGGTCGGGCTCCGGGCTTTATGTTTATAGATACTGAAGAAAGTGTTTTGTACAGTACATTGGATGATGAAGAATAATTTGTGTTTTTCCTTATGGTTATTGAAGAATAACAATCATATTTCTAAATGTAAATACGTTAATGTATTTTATTTATTACAAATAAATAAATCATCACTTTGTACTTTTCTAATAAAGCGTACAATCTTGACCCATTCATAAGATATCATTTTAGTTTTAAATGAGCAACTCATCCAAGAAGTAAAAAAAAAATTGCATTTGAATTACAGAGAGAGAATAGAAAACAAACTAAAACATAATTCACTGAAAAACTGTAGAATTAATCGTTAATTAAGATACACGCAATCTGCAATCCCCACACAGTATTTGAGTAATTGCAAGTGTGCGTGTGTGCGGATCCGTCACTAACGGTTAGATCTCTTCCCCTGCTCCAATTGATACATATGAGGTGTCATTCGACGCCTTATTTAGTCTCGGCCTCCCGATGGCGACCTGATTATTTGATTTTGAATCTGTCCAGAAGAGTCTAAGAAATTTCCAAAAATATTTGTTTGGGTGTTTTAGCGTTTCGATCACACTAGATAGATGAATAATCAAACCGACGCCAGTAATATTCGGTTCACGACGTAATACTTTTCTTCTACGAGGATTACAACACACCACTTGATTGTTCTGAAACGTATGAAACACAACAGAACATGTGATGGAAGGAATATCAATAGTGATACTGCTTTGAACATGTGACATAAATTTCGGAACTAATTGAGAATGATCTTATATTTGGATTAGATAATATTACCGAAGAACAGCTAGCATATGATCTTTTATGTTCATGTTAGCAAAAATGGGTACAAATACTGCACTAAACTAACTATTCGCATTATTCATACCTGCAAGTATTTTTTACGGCGATTACAATTTTGAATTTGCGACATTACCAGTTTATATCCCGTATGGAAGTAACATGCAAGGTAATTGAGTGTTGGGAATTTTTGAACGGGAGTTTTACATTATCTAGCTACTACAATTCATTGGTATGTCGTATGCCAGATGCCGACTGTCACGGTGAGACTCCCCGCTGTGAAAGTCTTTTTTGTTATGTGATAATCCATCTGTCTCTTCTTTCTTTAGAGTGAAAGATCTCGTCTGTAAACGAGTGTGAACTCAATATAGAACTAATAAAATATGATATCGATATTTTAGAATGATGGAATTAGTGAGTGAATTAGCGAGTGATTGAATAATAATATACGTTTGAAAAAGATCTCTTGACAAACGTTTTTGTTCATTACACGCTTAAAATAATTGGCTTAACAGTTTTTTAGTATTTCTAGTGTTAATAACGTTTGAATGGATCCAAAACAAAATAGTGAAAATTTGCAATATTAGCTACGAGATATAATTAATTAGGTAGTTCATTCTTACCAGACAGAGACTTCCTATGGTGATATTATTTCTTTTAACAAAAATGTATAGATGCGTTAAGTGGAGGTTTATAGAAATAAGGATGACTATAATTTTAAAAGCAAAGTTCATTGAATTAATTGAAACCAAAAAAATAACATTCTCACAAAAACGTCGTTTTGTATATAAGATTCTTATAGTAACATTTCTATTCACAACTCTGGTTGGATGTAATCACATAGAAAATACATTGATTTAAAGAACTAGATCTCTAAGGATCAACTTCAACTCCTTTATATGTAGGTAGGTATATATGTACAGTACGTTCTAATAGACAAACAAGTATTACACACTACCCAGTAATCACTTTAACATGGTCTTTCAATTCTGATAAGAATTGTTAATTCAAAATTTTCAATTACTAATCCTTAAAGCATTTGACAGAGACGAAGAGTATTATGATTATATTATAAATAATAGATAATATCATATGATTTCATAAAGAAACAAATAATAACAATAAAAAAGGATAAGTCGTGTCTTTGGACAACCTGATCACTAACTCTTGCAGATTTTGTTTGCAGTAGCAGTCTTAATTAATACGTTAATTCCAGTAACAAAGATCATTCCTTTATTACTTATGATACTACAACTGAGATCACACCCACCTATAAACACACAATCACTATACAAAATATAATTATATTTATTACTATTTAATGTTAATGATGTTATTAGCAACGATGAATATCTAATTATTAAAACTCTTATAAACAGTTTTAAAAAATTGAACAGATAACACAAATGGTATTAACTTACCTGTAATAATTTTGCCATCCATGATGTAACAAAGAAGTGGGTAACATGAGCCCCTTCATCCACTTTTTCTTTCCATAACCAGCAATGTTTATTTCCATTGAAGCAAATTTTGAATTCGTGTGATTTTTACCCGAGAACAGACGTATATGTGCTGTGTTCAGCGATTTCTAATTTTAAAATAACTCAAGATATGAAACGAAGCAAGTAATACATTAATTTCAGAAAAATGAATTTGTTGAACCCTAAACTAAAATACCGAAGTATAAATAACTGATCAACAGACTAAATAGTAGTTGAGGTAAGTAATGTAAGGATAAAGAATTTCAATAAAAAAGGTATACAGAATTTTATTATGAAATCTTTTTTATGAAGTCTTTTTGTAATGTATTATGTTTTTTCATTTCATGTAATGATGTTTTAAAAGAATATTCATGAATATTTGTATACCTTTCTAGAAAAAAGGCCATTTAAATAATTTGGAGAAAGGGTTTTGCTCTACTTTCAAATCCCCTGACGATACGTTGTTTGGTGAAGTGCATTTATCCGAAGAACTTATTTTAAAAGAGTGTGTACGTTTTTTAATACACAAATATGTAATAGATGAAAAATAGAAAACACAAACTAAAAGAACAGACAAGCGATTCTGAAAAGTAAGTGAAAAATTAAAGTGTTGTAGTCTGTATTGAATATTGTTTAACATAAATTATACAATAAAAATAATTATTTAATTATATATTTCTTAGTTTATTCATTTTGATTCGTTCAGTTCTGCCATTGCCATATAATCAGATGACTCCCCCATGATCTTACCCAAGTGCATTACGAAAATAGATAATCTACTAAATTTTAGTAAAATGGCAGTAGAATGTAGCCTATTTTATCCATAAACTTTCGCGAGGACGTTTGAGTGAAATTAATTTTCATGCGCTGGGCTAGGACAGAGGAGCTGTGGAAGGCGAGCGGTTTATGTTGTTCTTTGCCAGGCCTCTTGGAGCGCTGCGAACGACTGTTTCCGACGTTTAACATTAGGGTGCACTTCTATCCTTTGTTGTTCTGTGCTGAGTACTATATACATCGGGTCATTCTAGGAATGTTCACTTCGACAATTGCCTACACAAAAATAAATGAAAATACTCGATGTCTCACTCTTCAGTACATATGTCCATAAAAAGTAACATTTTTCAGAAATTGCATTTATGTACTTATTTTTAGGTGATGAGAACGCCATTTGGAATCATTCTAGAGAGTGTTGGAAGAATAGTGGTGTCTTTTGACTTCCAGTAGTGACAACTTTTCAAAAATTAATTAATTTCCTCTACGCTTTCATTTCCGTCTGGGGCAGCGTGCTGAGAAGATTAACGTGAGAAGTAGGTGGAAACGATTGGAACGCAGGCCTTAAAGTGTTCGTGAAGACCAGAAATTGTAAGTGTAAAATATAGCTAGGTGAACTGTGTTCTATATAGAAATGTGACATATATTCCGACGTTACAGCAATGCTGATTTGATGTACAAGGTAAGTTATCTTATTTCCTAGGTTATTGTAGGTCTTTCAAATTTGAAATATTACTTGTTGAAACGAGTAGAGTTACAAAGTAGTATATCCAATGAAAAGATGACCAATTATTGTGATAATAACTGTGTCTTAGGTTATTTCTCGGTGAAAACACTGCTCGAAAAGCATTTTTCTTTTGGAGTATCAATCACAGAAATAGTGATATGTAGATTATAACTTGAGCGTTTCAATATGAATAGGGTTTGCTTTGCCAGATGTTAAGTTATGTTGCAAGCTGTAAATAGTAACCAAGCTGTGAAATTGTTGTGAAGAAACAACAGTACATGTTGAGAAACGACTTGAGAAGTTGAGAAAATTTGAGGTTAGGAATATGCTAAGAAAATAAAGTTAATATAACTATATTTTATTTTGAATATTGTTTTTGTAATCTCTTTATTTTGCGTTTGTTTCTTTTTCAATTGGCAATTTAAAACATATTTGGGTGTTTATCAACTGTTTTTCATTGATACGAGATGTTTTCTGCAAAATCTAATGTAATTGGGTATTTGCCCTGTTGTGAGAAAATAAATAAATGGTCAAGAGTCAGCACAATTTTTTTTTATCTAGAAATGCGAAAAAATTTTAATCATATTTATATCTTTACTTTCACTTTTTTTTTTGCTTATATAGTTTTGAAGTAGTGTTGCTCTGTGACTAATTTGTGAATGAGAGCAAAAATGAAAAACAAAACAAATCATTTTCCCTGATTTACCGGAATTAAAGTTATTAATATCGTATGTTACTTCTACTGAAGGCTGGATATTTTAGATTTATTAATAATTCTGCAATTAAGTTTGAAAACTTGGTAGAAGAATTCACTAACTTAACATTACAGAACTTAACAACTTTACCAAATATACAAACTTTACAAATTAACGTAAACATTTCACAGTGCAATCTTTCATAACACTCCGCTTCACCACACTTCACTTGACCGCACTGGGAAACACCTAGCTGTAATGTCTTTCTTACACACTAGTTTCCCTCAGTTTCACAACGCCACTGCACTGCACTGCACATAATTAATAATAATAATAATAATAATAATAATAATAATAATAATAACGATAATAGTAATACTTCTTAATTACATAGACGACATAGTTACTTATACTGTATAATAATATATTTATAGCACGCATGTCAACATTTAGGAAACTAATTTATTTTTAAATTTGCTCAAGCTTTGAGGAAAGGGATCTCAGGCAAACCGTTCCAGTCTCTAATAGTTCGATTCGCGAATGAATATTTCCTAACGTCCGTTTTCTGAGTTTTGTGCATGTGATCCGCTCTGCCGAAATATGTAGGTTTCCTTAATCGACTATGAATTTCTTTCCACGCCAAAGCTAAATTAGTCGGCAATTCATTCACGAAGGCCAGAAACATGAGTGGTTTGATGAC